TACAGTAGCTCCACCCTCAAATGTGTTATAGGGATAGTTAAAGAAAGTAGTTTATCATTAGTTTCAGTGGCGTAGATGGTAAAGTGCTCACCGTTGTCTTTTTGACGCGATCGACCCGGGTTCGAATCCGCCTTTTACCGAACTTTTTTCTTCCTTTTCAAATGCTTTGGAACAGACAGAAGGAAAAAATCCTGTGAATGGATAATGTAAGTCCCAGTGCTATTTACACTGATGTAGGTCAGAAGGTAGGATACCCCAAAACATTACTGCTCTTGAGGAATGGGCCAAAATACCAGCAACAGTGTGTGACAACCTTGTGAAGACTTACAGAAAACGTTTGACGTCTGTCATTGCCAACAAAGGGTATATTATAACAAAGTATTGAGATGAAATTTTGTTATTGACCAAATACTTATTTTCCACCATAATTTGCAAATAAATTCTTTAAAAATCCTACAATGTGATTTTCTGGATTTTTTTTCTCATTTTGTCTCTCATAGTTGAGGTATACCTATGATGAAAATTACAGGCCTCTCTCATCTTTTTAAGTGGGAGAACTTGCACAATTGGTGGCTGACTAAATACTTTTTTTCCCCACTGTGTGTATATGTATATATATATTCTAAATTATTATTATTATTTTCAGCTTATCTATCAATTTTAATATTGGTGAATCCCTGCTAAGTATTGGGTAATGTACAGTCAGTCAGCAGCCCTTTTTTCATTTTAAAATAATTTGACTTCTATTTCAACAAACTACATACAAACTCAAACATAAATTCTTTTTTTTAATCAGACATGAGTTTATCAGACTTTCCTTGCAATGGATTTTGTTAAATATTAGATCTTTAAATCTTTATATTTAATAAGAACAAGGATCTAAAATGTAATCAGATGAGGACATTTAACGCTGGCATACAGCACAATTATCATAAATAATGATTGAATAAGTGAGCATGCACATGCTGGGAGTTTTCAGCTTCAGCTTTTAATATGAGAAGCTTTGCAGGATATCCCACAAGCCCTGCTGTGAATAAATACACATCCTGTACTCTAACTGACTGTTTTGCCTGAAACTGTTTATCAAATCACCTCTAAACTCCTGAGAGGGAGGGAGGGCCGAAAAGGAGGGTTCCTTTCTCTCTCTCTCTCTCTCTCTCTCTCTCTCTCTCTCTCTGGCCTTGTAGTCTCAACCCTCTTAAAATCTATCGTCAGAAGTGGAGTTTAAAGGATGTGCTCTTCCACCCCCCTCTGTGGTTGTCACGGGTGATGGGTGACATGAACGTCTTGGCGGCTGCCACCACTGTTTACATAATTTCGACATGGCCGCAGGGAAAAAGAGTCTACGGCTGCAACGATCTTCACTTCACACTCCTCCAATTAGAAAGGCCCCTGCTTCGCCGCTTAGCATGGCTCTCGGGGAACGGGAATATTCGAGCTTAACTTTTCAGCCCACGGGGGAGTCACCAAAGAAAGATGCCGTGGTGGAGTTGAGAGGATGTTTAAGACAGACTAAAGATGCCCCAGTTTATCTGACAACATCTGAAATGGTGGACGTGACGTGGAATTTGGTGCCAGAAATGCTGAGAATATTTTGTGAGCACTGAAATGTATTTTTGAAGTCTTACTGTGAAGAATTTTTGGTTGAAGTATTACTGTATCAAAATTTGTCTTGCTTTTCTCTAAAATGACTTTGCTTTTTCAGTGACATCACCTAGACCAGTGTTTCCCAACCGGGGTGCCGTGTAAAAAAAAAAATCATTTTTTAAATATTTTTAAATGACTAAAATGTTCAAAAAAGCATCTGTTATATAATAACATTTCTGATGTTGCCAATAATTAGAGATGCACCGAAATTTTGGCTGCCGAAAATTAGTTCACCGCTCAGGTTTCACTTTCACGTGGTGTGACGCTCTGCGTATTATCC